TCACTTTGTCAAGACTGCTTCTTAGAATCTTGGTTCCTCTCACGTTTTCTTTGCTATATTTAAGCTGTGGGGAACTGTGGCCCTCCCTAAATGTGCTTATTATGTTTTGAGAAGTTATCAAGATCTTCATAGTGTGAGCAAATCAAAATTATCACTGTGTCAACCTGAAATGGTGCATTATATATAGTTCAGATGAAATATAAGGAATGAAAAATTAAGAGAAGAAATACTGGAAATGCAAATCTAAGCAATACAAGAAAATAATAAAATATTAGATCAGTGTGCAGATAGCATTAGCAGTAGTAAGTTCAAGATCAATTTATCTTCAGGTTGTGTGCAACTCATTTATTGTGGAAAGTGAAGAATGAGTGAAGAGCAAAAACACTATGAAGGTAGTCAGTACTTGCTTTATATATAAATTATTTATTGCAAATAGTGTAAAGTAAAAATTCTCTTTTGAGAAAAGAAAAAAAAACACTTAGAAAAGTGAAAAGCAATAACAAAAATGTACAGTCCTATAGCAGACTGTCCTTTTTCATTTGACATGTTATTCTCAGGTCTTCAATCTCACTAGAACAGACAAAAAAAGTACACAGTTAACAGTTACATGCACCATTTAACCTTGTAGGTCTTTTCCTGCAACTCTTACCTTCTGCTGTGCTGAGGACCAGCAAGGAACGAATTCTCTGCTTCCTGCGTGGACACACCTATCAGCTGAGCTAGAGCACAGATGATGGACTAAACCAGGGGTCTCAAACTCCGGTCCTGGAGAGCTACTATCCAGTAGGTTTTCTGTCCCACTTGGCTTCTGATGAGGTATTTACCTGGGTATTTACCAGAGAACAGGTGTGACTCATCAGAAGCCATTAGGATAGAAAACCTACTGGACAGTAGCTCTCAAGTTGGAGTTGGAGAACCCTGGACTAAACAAAACAAGCAAAAATACATTATGAAACACTGTTGTACTAAAATCATGTAAGGTTGTCATTGTATTTCAATAAAAGATCTAATAGACCATTAAAAGCAAATATAGTACAAGATACATTTATATGGGAACCTTTCGGATCTGTAGGGCAAATCATGAATGAGAAAGACATGAGGAAATATTTTACTGGTCAAAATAAGGCATTTGTTATGTGTGTCGGTGTTTCCACTGGAGTTGTTTCTGCCTGTGGCTATCATCTGTCATAAATATCATCATTGACATAAAGAATTTTGGTGAAACTGCATGAAATTAATTTGACAATCTGTCGATTTAGAAGCTTTAAATTAACTTTTTTGACATGGATACCATAGGGATAGAATATCCTACATCTGTTTTTATAGTAAATTTATATGCATCCTTTATCCATGTTAAGCTCAGATACTTTAATAGAAAAAACGCACATAACATACATACATGCATAGTAAAACAGAATGTGGGCTTGCTTTAAATAATTATTCACTGCATTTGATTTGATTGTACTGAGATGCAGAGGATAATAAAAAAAGGATTATTAGGAATACCATACTAATACGGTGTTTGACCCCCTTTCGCCTTCAGAACTGCCTTAATTCTACGTGGC